GAGCCAGCATGGGGGAACTATGGCCCCTTCATGACTCGTGGACTTCAACTCCCAGAATTCCCGAGCCAGCATGGGGGAACTATGGCCCTCTCATGACTCGTGGACTTCAACTCCCAGAATTCCCGAGCCAGCATGGGGAAAACTATGGCCCCTTCATGACTGGTGGACTTCAACTCCCAGAATTCCTCAGCCAGCATGGCTCAGCTTGGAAACCCCTCCCTTTCCCCTCAGCATGGCTGGCTCAGGAATTCTGGGAGTTGAAGTCCACAAATCATAAAAGAGCCAAGATTGCCTAGCCTAGACATTGACCCATTCATGTCAAAATTATGACAACGCCTGGAACATTTCCCCCCCAAACCTGGTGCTTCCTGATGAGTAGAGAGATTTGCAGATTTGGGGGGATTATCGCAAGACATCTGGAACACATCAGTTGGGGAAGTCTGGCTTGGTGTAATTCTGGAGCCTTCTCTGATCTAATTGCTGTTTTTAGCCAAGTAAATACCCCCTGACTTTGATTACATCCTGCTCTAAGTAGCGTAGATTACAGATTGCGTCTCCTAGTAATAGCTCGCTGTCTCACGTGTCTTAAATTATACCCACGTTTGTTGTGGGCTCCCAGGATTAGCGGAAAAGAGACCGGCCCTCTTTAGATGTCTCTATACGAGGTCCTCCACTTACGACCACAATACTAACCAGCATCTCCGCTGCTAAGCGAGACGGTTTAAGAGAATCGCGTCCAATTTTACCTGCTTTTGCCACAATTTAGTGAATCATTGTGGTTGTTAAATGAATTTTAAAAGCTGGACTGCAAAGCAAATGATGCGCAGGCAGCCCTAAATTTTGAGCCCCAAATTTCCATTGCTGAGCAAGGGAATGGCTGTGTTTCACACTTACGACCGTTGCAGCACCCACGTGGTCACGTGATCCAAATTCGGCCGCTTGACAACTGGCTCCTATTTATGACGGTTCCAGCGTCCCCGGGGTCACCTGATCCCTTTTTGCGACCTTCCTACAAGCCAAGTCAATTGGGGAAGCCAAATTCACTTAACAACCAAGGCAGTCGTTAAGTGAGGTTACCCTTCAGTTTACGACCTTTTTTGCCGCAGTTTAGTGAATCACTGCAGTTGTTAAGGGAATCGTGGGGTCGTTAAATGAATCCAGTACTCCCTGGATTATAGATGGCAATAATGCTGCAGCCATCATAAATACATCCTGGTTTCCAAGCGCCTGGATTTTAGTCATGTGACCACGGGGGAATGCTGCGACGGTCATATGTGTGAGGACTGGTCATAAGATTTTTTTTTCAGCACCGTTGTAACTTTAAACAGTCACTAAACGAATGCGTGTATGTCAAGAACGACCCGCATCATAGATTGGCTAGAGTTTTGTGACAGCTAGAACATGCCAACCTGATTTATGATTTATAATTTAGCCCTTTTAACCATCGTCATTTCCCTACAATAAATTTCCCAGGATTTTAACAGCGATGAGTTGGCCCTATTAATCCTTATTTTGTTTGCTTTGAAATCCTTATCTGTATTTTTTTCCATGGGTTCACGCAAAAGGAAACAGCCACAGACTTCCCTAAAACTGGGTGACTAAAATACATTGAATTTTTAAAAAAGCAGCATTGGTCACTCAAGTTCCTTAGCAGGTCAGCCTTTGGTGGGATTTTTTGAGAATGAAATTTTTCTCCAGGACAAAAATAAATTAATAAAGAGCAATATATTTACAGAGAATTATGAATCTTAACACGAGGCGAACGTTTTTGGTAAGCAAGAAAAATGAGCTGATGAATTTTCACAGGGTGAGAAATAACCCCTAAATAGATCTGGTTTTTGTAAGGAATTAAATCAATATTTCTCAATCTCTGCCAGTTTAAGATGTGTGGACTTCAACTCCCAGAATTCCCCAGCCAGCGGATGCTAGCTGGGGAATTCTGGGAGTTGAAGTCCACAAGTCTTAAAGTTCCATACATGAAGTCCATACATCATAAAATGGCTGAGGTTGCCTGTAACCCCTCTTTTACAATTGAGATAAACTCCTAGAGAGGCCCTAGGAAAAGAGCTTTTCTAGGCACTTTCTTTCTATGACCAGTTTGGATTTTGCATACTAACATGGTGGCCGCATAGAGGGTTGAATGGGGGCTGGACTAGAAGACCTCCAAGGTTCCTTCCAGCTCTCTTCTGATTGATATGCCAACATTGAGCACCCTACCATGAATTTTTTATTTTAGTTTGATTTAAAAAAAAAATCCCTGAAAATGGGAAAGTAAGTTTCAGTCAACAATCACATCAGAATAACTTTGGAGAATTGAAACCTGTA